GTGCCTGCAGAGAGTGGTAAAGACTGCGGAGAAGATCACCAGGACTCCACTGCCCTCTCTGCAGAGCATTTACCACCACAGGGTGTGTAGGAAAGCTGCCTCCATCCTCAAGGACCCCACCCACCCCCAGCATGGACTGTCAACTCCCTACCCTTTGGCCAGAGGTTCAGAAGTGTGAAATGCAGGACCTCTAGACTGAAAAACTTTTTCTTTCCCTCTGCCATCAAACTCCAAAACAGCTGACAGGAGTTTATTACCAGGAAATACATCATGTACTGATTACCTGTACTGTTTACATTCTCAGTGTGTACATGCATAATTGCACATTCACTGTTGACTGCTGCACATACAGCTCCCATACATTCTCTTATTATATTCTTATATATTTTTGTTATATCTCTGCGTTGGCTGCTTAAAGTGCCTTAGATTTTGTGTTACTTATTTATCTACTTTATATTTCATCTGTATTATGTGGCATTCATGTGGACGGCAAAGTAAGAATTTCATTGTACAGGGAAATACGTTTCCTAACTGTGCATATGGCAATAAACACTTTGACTTTGACTTAGACTTCTCTTTGCTTCTAGTCTACAGTGGGTACGGAAAGTATTCAGACTCCCTTAAATTTTTCACTGTTATATTGCAGCCATATGCTAAAATCATTTAAGTTCATTTTTTTCCTCATTAATGTACACACAGCACCCCATATTGACAGAATAACACAGAATTTTTGACATTTTTGGAGATTTATTAAAAAAGAAAAACTGAAATATCACATGGTCATAAGTATTCAGACCCTTTGCTATATACTGAGGTAGTTACCTCCTAAATCTACTATTTTACTTATCATTACAGTCTTCTTAGGTGCTGGGAATCCATCTCAGCCCTAAAACTACAGGACCGGATGACATATACAGTACATGTACTGTATGTTATGTTTAGTTAGATGTAAGATATGAATGGACAGATTGGAGAGTAGGTGAGCTAAAGGAAAGTCAGGGGTGAGCAGGGGTGAGGTGAGAGGCATACCGTCATTACATTGACTTTATTTCTGTCAAAGATGCAAAGAACATTATTGTCCTTTGTGAAATCTGTCTGAACAGCAAAATGCTTTGAATTGAAAAAAAAAAAAAAAAAAAAAAAAATCTATTTCTAATTTATTAAATCGTCTGGTTTGGCAGCACAGCAGTGTGACACTTGCCAACACGTAGGCCTCAACTGTCAGCAATGAATGCACTTTGGCCAAACAATAGAAACTGGACTTCATAGCAAGACATGCTGATGGACAGACATTGACAGTGGTGTCACTTGATTAATAATACCAGGTAATGCACTGTGAATGACACTGATACAGTGATGTGTAAATTAATTTCCCACCTGCAAATCTCAACATGGTAGCCAAGGTATTCTGGATCCATGGTTTCTTTGCCATCCTGGAAGTGGCTGACATTAAAATAGGACAGTGTATGGTTGACAAATCCATGCATGGAGCCATCAGGGCTGTACATGTACTGGTAGACCATCCGAGGGATGAAGTCTGAGGTGAAGGAGATGACAAATGCCTGGGAGCGTTGGTTGGGGAGGTGACGATGGGATGGGGGTTCAGAGGTTAGGGACAAAAATGGGAGTTAGACTAATGTTAATAAATACTTCATATTACATGTGTAAACAAGACAGGTTGGAATGTAATAGCATACAGTGTCAATTTGAAGTGAACTGGACTGTACAACCCCAAATCAGAAAAAGATGGAACAATATGTAAAATCAAAATTAAAACTAAAAATAGTGATGTGTAAATCATCTGTGTCCTGTACTACATTGAAAACAATACAGCAGCACATTATTTGATGTGATACCTCATCAAATTTTATTCTTTATTCAAAATAAACACTCACTTCAATCCTGATGCTGCAACACATTCCAAAAAAGATGGGATGGCTACATTTCAGGAATAGTAGGATAAGGGTAATCACCTTTATTGGCTAAGTATGTTACAGTTTGCCAACATATGTGTGAGAAAATTTTTGAACTGTTTAAAAACAATGATCCTCAAAGAAAAATAGGAAGGGATTTGGATATGTCATCCTCTACAGTGAATAACATAATTAAGAGATTCAAGGAATCTGGAGGGATTTCAGTGTGTGTAAAGGGCACAAGCCTAAGCTGGATGATCGTGCTCAGATCCCTCAGAGGGCACCGCATCTAGAATCGTCACTCTTCTATAAGCAATATAACCACATGGGCTCAGGATGACTTTGGGACACATGTGTCAGGCACTACAATACATAGTTACATCCATAAATGCCGCCTACAACTTTACTGTGCCAAAAGGAAGCCCTATGTCAACAGTGTCCAGAGGCGTAGCAGGAAATGTTGTTTGCATTAGGAGTAAATCACAACTAATAAACATAAGGACATATATGTAAGATTCAAGCTGAATTTAACCAGAGAACCAGTTAAGGTTGAGCAAAGCAAAAAATGTCAGTGACGTGGAAAATGGGCTAGCGCCTTGGTGCGGTTACGACAGAAAGGAACACGGACCTCACTCCCATCTATTCACCTGGCTAATCTCCGCTCCCTGGTCAACAAAATGGATGAAATTCTTCTTGTCAACAGGACTAAGTCTGACTTTGCACACTCTGCTGCGTTGTGGTTCACGGAGACCTGGCTCAGCGACTCCATCGTGGACAGCGTGATTCAAGTACCGGGCTTCCCTGTGTACAAAGGGGATCGTGTAAAAGAGCTGTCCGGGAAAACGAGAGGAGGTGGAATCTGCTTCTACATAAATGAAGGTTGGTGCACAGATGTCACAGTGCTACAGAGGACATGTACCGCAGACCTAGAGACTCTTGTTATCAATTGCGAACCCTTTTACTCTCCCCGTGAATTCAACAGTTTCATGCTAATGGGAGTGTACATAACACCGCAGGCTAACGCTAGCATGACGGGGCCTAGCAGAACTGATAAGTAGCCTGGAGCTAGAACATCGTGACTCTCCACTCATTGTTCTAGGGGACTTTAACAGAGTAAATCTCACCCACGAACTGCCCAAATACAGACCGCACATTACCTGTCCCACCAGAGAGAAAATCACAGTGGACCACTGCTACACAACAATAAAAGATACCTATCGCTCTGTCCCCCACAGCCCTCGGACTCTCTGATCACTGTGCAGAAACTTAAAACTGCAAAGCCTGTAGTCAAAACAGTGAAGAGCTGGACTGAGGAGGCTAAGTCAGAGCTACAGGCCTGCTTTGACTGCACAGACTGGAGTGTATTTGAGACTGCAGCTACAGACCTGGACAAACTCACTGACACTGTGACATCTTATATCAGCTTCTGTGAGGATGTGTGTGTGCCCAAAAAGACCTTCTGCATATACAATAACAAGCCCTGGTTTACAGCAAGACTGAAGCAGCTTTGCCAACAGGTCACTGGAGCTGTGTGAAGTCCCCTCCTGCTTCAAATGCTCCACCATAATTCCAGTCCCCAAGAAAACCTCCATTAGTGGACTGAACGACTACAGGCCTGTCGCCCTGACATCTGCAGTTATGAAGTCCTTTGAAAGACTGGTGTTGGCCCACCTGAAGGACATCGTAGACCCCCTGCAGTTCGCCTACTCGGCAAACAGGTCAGTGGACGATGCAGTAAACATGGCACTGCATTACATCCTGCAACACCTAGACTCCCCAGGGACCTATGCATGGGCCCTCTTTGTGGACTTCAGCTCAGTATTCAACACCATCATCCCGGACATCCTCTACTCCAATATAACCCAGCTCACTGTGCCTGCCCCCACCTCAAGTTCAATGAGGTTCATATGCACAGTTCAGAAACGTGTTTCCCAGTACAATGAAATTCTTACTTTGCTGTCCACATGAATGCCCACAAAATACAACTGAAATATAAAGTAGATAACACAAAATTTAAGGCACTTTAAGTAGCAAATGCAGCAATATAATAAAAAAATAACAATGTATGGTACATGGGAGCAGCATGTGCAGCAGTCAACAGTCATTGTGCAATTATACATGTGCAAACAGAATGTAAACAGTACATCACGTATTTCCTGGTAAATAAACTCCTCAGCTGTTTAGGAGTCTGATGGCAGAGGGAAAGAAAGAGTTTTTCAGTCTAGAGGTCCTACATTTCACACTTCTGAACCTCCGGCCAGAGGGTAGGGGGCCGAACAGTCCGTGCCGTGGGTGGGTTGGATCTTTGAGGATGGAGGCAGCTTTCCTATGCACCCTGCCGTGGTAAATGCTCTGCAGAGAGGGCAGTGGAGTCCTGGTGATTTTCTCCACAGTCTTTACCACTCTCTGCAGGTGCTTGCGGTCCAAAGGTCACTGGTGTGAGCCTGCCCTCCATGGAGGACCTGTACACTGGACAGGTCAAAAGGAGGGCGGAGAGGATCACTGCAGACCCCTCACACCCTGGACACAATCTGTTTGAACTCCTCCTTTCTGGACGGCGTTACAGGTCACTGTGCACCAAGACAACCAGGCACAGGGACAGTTTCTTCCCCCAGGCCATCACTCTGATGAACACTTAACCAACAACAGTATGATTGGACAATAACCCTCAGTGCAATACCTGTGTGTGTATATATACATTGTACAGATTATACAGACTCGTACAGGTCTCTAGTTTTAGGTACTTAATTTTTTATCTCTATCTCATTTCAACGAACATTCCTTTGTTGTCTGCATTGTTTACTGTCTGTTTATACTGCATTGTTTGCACTGTTTGTTGCTGTCAATGTTGCTGTTAATACTGCTATTTTGTTATATTACACAGCCTTATGCTGGTTTACTGTTTGCACATTGAGAGCCGATGTACCAGAGTCAAATTCCTCGTGTGTCCATCACACCTGGCCAAATAAAGCTGATTCTGATTCTAAACCAAGGAACAGATTCACATTCAGTACACTCCAAAAACGTGATCTTCCTGACTTTATCTAAACTGGATCTAGTGCAATAAACGCTTGGACACAAGACTAAAGACAAACATACTGTGTGACATTCATGAGTTTATAAAGCACCCCAACACAACGCGGTGACACTGACCCCAGGAGAGCTGAAATGATGTGACATCTAAAGTTATTTCCAATCGTTTCCTGCTTCCAATATTTTGTTGAACCTCTGCCGCTTAAGTTCTCCTCAAATTCAGTTTGACTGTCTACACAGAAGTACTGAAGTTTTTTAAACTTAACTAAACTTTTCTAACTTTTTTTTATTATACAGACTTGTACAGGTCTCTAGTTTTACAGTGTCTTGCGAAAGTATTCGTCCCCTTGAACTTTGCGACCTTTTGCCACATTTCAGGCTTCAAACATAAAGATATAAAACTGTAATTTTTTGTGAAGAATCAACAACAAGTGGGACACAATCATGAAGTGGAACGAAATTTATTGGATTTATTTATTTATTGGATATATTTATAAATTTATTTCAAACTTTTTTAACAAATGAAAAACTGAAAAATTGGGCGTGCAAAATTATTCAGCCCCCTTAAGTTAATACTTTGTAGCACCACCTTTTGCTGCGATTACAGCTGTAAGTCGCTTGGGGTATGTCTCTATCAGTTTTGCACATCGAGAGACTGAAATTTTTGCCCATTCCGCCTTGCAAAACAGCTCGAGCTCAGTGAGGTTGGATGGAGAGCGTTTGTGAACAGCAGTTTTCAGTTCTTTCCACAGACTCTCGATTGGATTCAGGTCTGGACTTTGACTTGGCCATTCTAACACCTGGATATGTTTAGTTTTGAACCATTCCATTGTAGATTTTGCTTTATGTTTTGGATCAGTGTCTTGTTGGAAGACAAATCTCCGCCCCAGTCTCAGGTCTTTTGCAGACTCCATCAGGTTTCCTTCCAGAATGGTCCTGTATTTGGCTCCATCCATCTCCCCATCAATTTTAACCATCTTCCCTGTCCCTGCTGAAGAAAAGCAGGCCCAAACAATGATGCTGCCACCACCATGTTTGACAGTGGGGATGGTGTGTTCAGGGTGATGAGCTGTGTTGCTTTTACGCCAAACATAACGTTTTGCAGTGTTGCCAAAAAGTTCGATTTTGGTTTCATCTGACCAGAGCACCTTCTTCCACATGTTTGGTGTGTCTCCCAGGTGACTTGTGGCAAGGACAGGGAAGATGGTTCAAATTGATGGGAAGATGGATGGAGCCAAATACAGGACCATTCTGGAAGGAAACCTGATGGAGTCTGCAAAAGACCTGAGACTGGGACGGAGATTTGTCTTCCAACAAGACAATGATCCAAAACATAAAGCAAAATCTACAATGGAATGGTTCACAAATAAACATATCCAGGTGTTAGAATGGCCAAGTCAAAGTCCAGACCTGAATCCAATTGAGAATCTGTGGAAAGAACTGAAAACTGCTGTTCACAAACGCTCTCTATCCAACCTCACTGAGCTCGAGCTGTTTTGCAAGGAGGAATGGGCAAAAATTTCCGTCTCTCGATGTGCAAAACTGATAGAGACATACCCCAAGTGACTTACAGCTGTAATCGCAGCAAAAGGTGGCGCTACAAAGTATTAACTTAAGGGGGCTGAATAATTTTGCATGCCCAATTTTTCAGTTTTTTATTTGTTAAAAAAGTTTGACATATCCAATAAATTTCGTTCCACTTCATGATTGTGTCCCACTTGTTGTTGATTCTTCACAAAAAATTACAGTTTTATATCTTTATGTTTGAAGCCTGAAATGTGGCAAAAGGTCGCAAAGTTCAAGGGGGCCGAATACTTTCGCAAGGCACTGTAAATACTCTGTTTTATCCCTATTTATCTCATTTCAGTGAATATTCCTTTGCTGTCTGCATTGTTTACTGTCTGTTTATACTGCTTTTTCCGCATTGTTTGCACTATTTGTTGATGTTAATACTGCTATTTTGTTATATTACACAGCCTTATGCTGGTTTACTGTTTGCACATTGAGAGCCAATGTACCAGATTCAAATTCCTTGTGTGTCCGTCACACCTGGCCAATAAAGCTGATTCTGATTCTGATTAAACATCTACTTAAGTAGCATTATTGAAATATTATTAGCCTACAATTGCTTTGTACATTCATGGTGCAATAGTTTATAACCAAATATCTGAATTGTATTGTGTTTAGTGCAAATGTTAGAATGCTAACATGTCAAACTATGATGTTGAAGATGATAACACTTACAAGTGCTTAAAATCATTATGTAAACATTGTCACAGTGAATATGTTAATGTTAACATACTGATGTTACTGTAGCATTTATAAAAACGCATGATAATGTACAGCCTCTCGGTCACTAGCATAGCTGTAGACTCTCAGGGAATATTTACTAAAACTGTCGCATTACCATCAAGTGCACAAAATATTGCATCACCAAAATATTGCAGTTTAGTGGTGTATTGATCAACACTAATGATGAAAATGAGCACAGCTGTAGCAGTGTTAATTTGAATGCATTTCCACATATAACGTACCTACAGTATACAGGTATTGTACATGTGTGGACTGAGCTAGAGCCTAGAAGAAATTATAAGTTTCCTGCTATTTAACTTTAATATTGGCTGAGAAAACCAACAAAAATATTTCTGAACTGCAATCATGTAGTTTTCTGCCAGCAAAATCATCTTTCATTTCATTCAGTAACTAAAGAATGGTGTGACCTGAAAGCCTGTAAAGTCCCTCACATTCTCCTCTGGCATCCCATAAAGAGAGGTGTGATCTACAAACACCCTCTCTTTCCTCAAATGTGTTTTTAATGCTGACAACCTCTCAAATCGATGAATAAATGCTGCAAATGTTAAACCTGCTTTCTCCTTACTTTAAATAGGACATTCATTCTCCCACAGTGGCCAGTCCGCAGTGGTAAATCAAGTACTGAGGGTATCTCTCCTTTTTTATTTTTCAAACAGGAATGATTTAAAATACATATTACATGAGAACAGATGCACAACTTTCAACTTCACAAAATGTGTTACCTTTCCTTGAGTAGACAGTTAAAGTAGTTAAATATGAAATTCTGCCTGCCTCTGCATAATTTCAAATCAAAGGTCATGGAGTTCAGACTCAAAACAAGTCAGAATATATACCTACAGTAGGCTACATGCATGTGCATAAACAAATGTTATATATTTATGACGTTACTTACATTAATGATGACGGCCACTTTTGCTACCCCTCTGAGAATGTTGTACCATATACCTGTAGACACAGTAAGTATCAGCTACTGGATTTTAGAGAAGAGGCTGCTTTGTTGTAATTTGTTGGTTGTAAGGAATATATTTATAGCAGTAACATATAACCCAGATCTCACTGTATTTCTTTGTACTTTTGTCTTTTAAAAAAAGTTGCAGTATGTTTAGTACAACCCACCAATGTCTTTGGCTCTTGCTGCCACTGGTCTTCTCAACTCAGTCACAAATTTCTTGGCATCAAGTCGTATTTCAATGATGTTGTTGAGCAGAGCAAAGAGCGGAGCCAGGGGGAAGGATGCCACGAACAATGTAACAAAACCAAACTGGATGACTGGACACAGAGGAAGACAGAAGAAGATATCAGCCAGTCATAACTACTAACTGCCAGCCTTCATATCTGGCAAATCAAACCAGGAAAGCTTAAAGATACTTTAGTTTCTAAAGCCCTATACAGTATATTAACAGTGTATTACAACGTACCTTACTAAGTAATACATTGTACTGGAAACTAGTCATGGGGCCAAAAGAAGAACAGAAGCTAGGGTTTATAAAAACATGATGTGTAGTGAGGATGTTTGCATTTCATGCAAATGTAATTCATGCTTAAATGTGATAAGATGGAGATAATGAACTGTTTTTTATTTAGAACAGAAGCAGGATTTGATTAGTTTTTGAATGAGGTGTTTAACATGAGTGTTTTCAGACAATCAGATAGCTATCCAAACTAAGTGCAGTGTCAGTTAGATTTCTTTTGAGGGCATGAATTGGAGTGTACATGACTTGTCCTTCAGTGTCAAGATTCAGAGTAGAGGTCTTCAAACTGTGCTCAGTCCAATCGGGTTGGGTCAGGTCCAGTTTTACTGCCGCAGGTCTTGGGTCTGCATATCAGTATATCCACTACCCAAGTGAAAGTGAATAGACCTTATGCTGTTAAATGAAATTAGATTTACTGATATTAAATAGATTAAGTTTATCAGTCACGCACATAATATTTTATTGTTGGTGAAAATAAGTCAAATATTTATAAACAATTGTCTTTGAAGCATCTATACCTATCATATTTCTGTGACATTCTATGACTTTATATTTGTTCTTATGACACTATTAATATATGACATTGTTATTATTATTAGAAAGACAGAGAGAGTGTGTGTAGGGATATCATGTGTGGGATACTGACTCATTTCCATATACTCAGGCGTTAATCCAACAAACGGTTCCAGAAAGTGGTCGGTCTCATATCTCTGCAGCTTCTTCTGTCTCTCATCTTCTTGAAAAGCACCTTGCTTTGACCGAATGTAACGAATGAGCTTCTTCAGCTTGCTGAGGAACATGCACATACACAAACACACATACAGACACGTACATATACAAGAAGTGTGAACACACAGGCATGCACACATTTTCTCTGTGTCAGGTAGTGATAATTAGCCATGCTGCCATGCTCATGCTGCACAGGTACTGTACATTTTGGATTAATTTAATTTTCAGAGGTTAGACGGTCATGGGTATACAGTAAAGCTTTTTTTGTACTGAAGCCTGAAGTTCAAAACTTAAAAAAAAAATAGGAACAGTAATTTGAGAACGATTATTTCTTGTCATAGCTGTGTGGTTGGTAATGTGATGTGTAATGACAGTCAATTTAATGTGAGGCATACTTACGGTATTCCGATCTCAAAAAGGTTGTTCTGAATGAGCTGCTTTCCCAACATGGTGATACTCAGCTGGATACAGAGCTCCATCAGACAGCCTCCATGGGCACACTGTTGAAGAGTCCAACATTAAATTCAAGAAGTAGCTCTAAAGCCAAATGACAACATGCTGGATAAGTAGGGGTTCAAAGGACTTGAACAGTGTGAATATTAATGACACCTGTTGATGATGTGCTGGCAGTGTGTGCTACAAGAACCAAAACCTAGCACTTTTTGCACAATTCTGTGAACATACAAAACTTAACAACAATGTGTGTGTTGTAGCAGCAGTTCCATGCCGTTGCAGGAAAAAGCATTTTTCATTAACCCATATATGAACAGGACAGCAGCAACTTGCATCATAAGTTGATTCTGAAAAACTCATAACTCATTCATTATTAATTACTTAACCATTGGTTACACTTTCTGTACCCCCTCAAATAAAATGGTGAATTATACAGAGCAGTTACTATGTAATTCCTACATAGTAGGGGTGGGGGGGGTGGGGGTGGAGCAATCCCAGCTGACACTGGGCGAGAGGTGGTGACCACCCTGGACAGGTGTTAGGTACTACTAGATTATTATTACCATTTCTCATTTTTTGTGCCCCTAAAGTAAAAGGGGCAAAACTAACATGCCGTCAGAGTTTATACTGACAAATTAAGTTAATTAGAGTCCTTAATAACAAATTGGAGAATAGGATTCTTTGATTTTTTTACAGGTCCAAATTCCATGCAGAACTCCACCCAGCCAGAGGAATTTTTACCCAGAGCATTTACCAAAAAAAACTCCTCATTCATATTTTTGGCAGCATTGTGTGTGTTTTATGCAACATTTCCAAGATCTTTAATATATGAAAGCTTTAGGTTTTTAATGTATTTTACTTGTCAAAAAGATGTTTACCCAGGTGGGAATGAACATTGCAAGAGTCAGCAAAGTGGAGTGCAACAGATTTGTTTTGATGGAAATTTTTAAAGCTGTAGACTTTACCTCTTCCATTCTGTAGAAATCAAACACATACAGGTAGCTGCCTGGTCTGCCCACCAGTCTAGAGGGAAAAATGAATGAAAATGTTCTTATTTAACAACACTTATTTAACATTTTCAATATTACTGAAATTATGAGGACAAACTTATACTTTGAAAGGGCACTTACCTTCCCCTGAAGAATGCAATGTAGATGATGGGGGTGAAAGCATTGAAAAACTTGAGAATGAAGGTTTTGAAGATGAGTCGTTCCTCAAAACTCTTGTCTGTTTTAGGAACCTCTAAAAGTAAACAGATCATTTTACCTGGTTTTAATTTTCTTTGCAATGCAAATCAGGATATAGAGTAATTACTTCTGAGAACAAACACTCCACAATCCAGCCACATGCTTTCAAAGCAACATACTGCTTGGTTATCTCTGCCGGGTCTAGAAATTATGTTTTATTCACCCAGTCGTAGAAACAATTAAATAAATCCAAATATGTACCAATACTTTATCAGGTGCAAAAAAAGACAAGATAAAAGGTGTCCAGACACTGAATAAAAATGTACCAGAGTGACCCACTAATCCTACTTTGTTAAAACATCCCATTATCCACTATTATCAAACATGTGACCTATTGACCTAATTACCTGCTTGGGGCAGTTTTATTCCTAACCCGACATACCTAACACAGTGAGCCATCGTGCCACAGCTCCGTACACCTCGTCCAGTATGAGGATGACCACCAGGTTAATGATGGCTGCAGTGGTTTTGACCGTCAGCTGTGCATTGTTCCGTGTGACTGGATTGGAGCTCATATAAAGCGCGGCATTGGTGGAGATCCGGTAAAGCATCACACCAAACACAATGGCAAATGTAACACCAATCTGACAACAGAATAGGTAGACTGTGAGGGAAATGAAATAATGATTCCACAATATTTCTGTAAATCATCAGTGATGATGTGTTTATGCAGAGAGGTTCTTCTTACCATTAACAGAATCATAACAATGTTAGTCATGTAGGCAGGGAAACGGTCTCGACAACTGAGCTTTTCCATCTAAAATAAATAAAACATATTGACTACAACTGCAACATGCACATTCAGTGTACTGTAAATGCTCAGGTAAATGTGCAGTTTAACAAGTCATCCAGCATCAGCTTAACCAGCCTAGAGATGCTTCAGGTGAGCTGCAGGATGTCAGCTGAAGTGCAGTGTCTCTCTTTTTAAGTGATTAAAATATAAATACAAATACAATATCATTGTCCGTGTTAGAGGACTGCTGTGACTATTGTATTTAATGCAAAAAGAGCCGTGGCCAAACAGAGTGGAAAAAGCACACTGTGTCAGAATCTCAGATGAAGTTTTAAAATGTTTCACAGCAGTTTGTTCAGAGTAGCACATTATATGTAGTTTATAATCTATTATTATATTTGTATTATTTATTTTGAAAATCCATCATAGGTACTTGTTAATCAATTTTCAAGAAAAAAAAATTTCAGTCATGGCCAAAAATATTGTCAACCTTGCATTTCTGTCAGATAATGCATCAGTTCTCCCAGAAAATTGTTGCAATCACAAATTATTTGTTATTCTCATGTTTATTTATTTTGTTTGCAATGGAATAACACAAAAAGCAGAGAAAAAAAAGCCAGCTCTGATAAATTCCACACAGAACTCCAAAAATGGACTGGACAGATTTATTGACACCTGCTCCTTTAATTTGTAATGAAACTCACCTGTAGCAACCAACACATGTTGGCAATATATAAATCAAAAGTTGACTCAACCTTTGTGACATGTGGACCACACTGAGCATAAAGAGAAGAAAGAAGAACAAATTGTCTGAGGATGTGAGAACCACAATAGTGGAAAAGCTTGGACAGTCTCAAGGCTCCAAGTCCATCTCCAGAGATCTGGCTGTTCCTGTGCCCACTGTGCACAACACTGTCAAGAAGTTTACAGCCCATGGTGCTGTAGCTGATCTCCCTGGACGTGGACGAAAGAGACAAATAGATGACAGATTGTAATGGATTGTTTGAATGGTGGATAAAGAACCTCAATTAGCTTTTTGTTCGAGCACATAATTCTACTGTTTTCAGAAAATGAAATGAGGCCTTCAAAGAAAAGAACATAGTCAAATATGGTGGAGGTTCACTGATGATTTGATGCAATGTAGGGCCCAGTGTCAAAGGTCATGGGTCTTACAGCAGGACAATGACCCAAACCAGACTTCAGAAAACTCCAGTAGAGAGGTGGAAGAAACTCTCTGATGGTTACAGGAAGAGACTGATTTCACTTATTTTGTCCAAAGGGTGTACTACCAAATATTAAGCTAAGTGTGTCAGTAATTATGTCCAGTCCATCTTTGCAATTCTGTGTTGAATGGATCAGATTTGGCTTTTTTCTGCTTTTTTGTGTTGCTCCAATGCAAACAAAAGAAATAAACATGAGAATACCAAAGAATATGTGACTGCAATTATTTTCTGCATTATCTTATTTTAACTCTACCAGTTAAGATTGCTAGCTAAGGTAAAACCATTCCTGTCTCGTACTGATTTAGAGAAAGCCATTCATGCCTTTGCGACCTCCCAGCTTGATTATTGTAACGCCCTTTATGCCAGCTTGTCCCAGTCATCTTTGTCTAGGCTTCAGCTGGTCCAAAATTCGGCTGCCCGTTTGCTCACAAACACTCGTCGGCATGCCCATATTACTTCAGTCTTGGTGTCTCTCCATTGGCTACCCGTAAAATGGAGAGTGGAGTTCAAGATCTTGCTCTATGTGTACTTATTGGACCTCCTGTCCAGATATGTCCCTCGTAGAACTCTACGGTCGTCAGGTCACCTTGCCCTTGTTGTCCCTTCTTCACATTATAAGAAATGGGGAGGTTGCGCTTTTGCCGTGTATGGCCCTAGATTGTGGAACTCCTTGCCCTTAGATGTACGCTCTATAACTGAGCTGGTACCTTTCAAGTCAGCTCTAAAAACGTATCTTTTTAAACAAACTTTTAATGTTTAACCTGTTTTATTAGTCTCGTAAGGCCATTATTTTCTAGTCTCCTTTGGAGGTATCGACTGGATAGAAATTGCGCTATATGCCTATGAGTGCTTGTGTTTGTTTTATGCTTATTTATTAGACTCTGATTGTTTTGAACTGTTATCTTTTTCATTGATGTAGCACTTTGTGCTCCTTGAGTTGGAAAGTGCTTTATAAATAAATTTTATTATTATTATCATCTGACAGAAATGCAGAGGTGTCAATATTTTTGGCAAGGACTGTATAAATGTACATACAAGTTATTTAAGGAGATATGAAATAAATGTTTTGCAGAGTCAAACTATTTGTCTGCAGTGTACTGTATGTGTGCATATATACACTGTATACAGGCATGTAAACACACTGACACAGGAGCAAACATACAGTCATGAGACAGGGTGAGACTCCTTGTACACAAAATAAAAGGTTGAAGCACATGGTGAAATAATGTAAAAGGTAAAAATATAACTGAAAGGCTGTAAAAATGCTTAGAAAATGTGAATGCAATTACAATCCGCAGAACTAGATAATTACCTTGTGTTGTGATTTTTTATCTTTTTTCATAAACTTCTGCATGACTCTAAATTCATACTCGGCCCTGTGGTGGTCCTGTAATAGTGACAAGAAGAGAAAAGAGGACAGAAAATAGATGCTAGTGAATCATACAGTAGAGGAGTAGTGGAATTACCACATGGATATGTACACTTGGAGAAACTATTAAAATAAGACATTTACATAAAATACTCTAATCACATGGCACTGACAATGTGAATGCTCCTTTGGTTTGACTTTATTAAGAGCAGCAGCAGGATTGATAGGTGAGTGTCCACACAGAGAGGGGCTGTGTGCACTTCTACTTCTGTGAATATTTTGAAAACTTTTTTTTTTTTTTTTTGATTTAAGGGCTGCTTCAGAAATCTTTGTGCGGTGGATATAGGTACTTATCTGCAATGGTATGAAAAGTACTATGTACTAATACATTTAATCAGCCATTTACAAAACAGCACTGATGTTTTGTTTGGTCATGTGTGATATCCTGTGGATATCAGTGGGTCATAGCTGTGCATGAGTGGTTGGAGAGGTCTTTGTGTGTGCACCTCTGCATTTGTCATAGGAGGTGTTCAGAGTTTGCTTTAACATAAGTGCAGATGTGCAACCAGAGAGAGGGGGTCAGTGTTTCCAGACTGTCTCACATCTTACCAAGACCCAGCTATAGTAAGTTGGACAGGCAGGATATAGGGAGTGTTTCGACTGTGTTTGCTCATAAATGTCTTTTTCTGCTTTACTTGAGTTAGATGACAGGGTTTTCCCTAAATATTGTGTTTTAACAAAGTCACTGACAAGATGACTTCAGGACATTGTCTGTAGAAACTGTGTATAAAGAGGCCATGTTTATAGTTTGCTCATACACAGTCAAGCCTACTTACTGAAGCTGCTGTTAATGCTAATACACACACTACTGATAGACACACCTGCACATTGCCCTATGGAGCAACTCTTTAACCCCTCACATCCCCACACCCTCATACCCCATTAACTCTTCCTACCCATAACAGGTGGGAGCTGTTTTCATTGACAGCTTCTTGGCTGCCGAGCACGTAGACACAAATATACCCATCAATAAGTACAACAGTAGAGCCATACCCACCACCTGAACCACTGGGCACGTTTAATATAAAACACATTTTAAAAGAAAGACAATGAAATGAGCACTCAGAAGAAGTGGAGAAATGGAAAAAAGCTTGAGGTGAAAGGTGAGAATATTATATTTTACTGTAAAGTTTGACAGCCACAGTTTATGGAACCTGGGAATGGGAACTCCGGGTAAAGGGCTAGGTCTGATATGAAGCTTTATGGGTGCAGTTTTTCAAAATCGGACCCTTGCAGGACTCTGCCTCATAGTCTTACCCTGAAAAAATTTTATTTGTAAATTATTACAAATATCACGCATGCTTTATTTGTGTATGATTACTGTGTTTGCAGAATTTCATATAATAGGTAAAAACCATTTTTTCTTTTCCTTTTCTCTTTTTTCACTCTGTTGAGCCCACAGGGATTCCTTGTAGGCATGGCACCCTGAGCTAATGACCTATTTTGTTGATTTTTGAAGAAAAAAGAAGGAAATGCAACTCCTGCAGCAAACAAATGTTAAAGCACTGTTTTTATTTCACAAACCTACGAATAGTAAGTAGTAATTGTGACAAGGGTGAACTAAATCTATACTCACTAACCCTCTTTGGGCAGATATCACAGCTCGCAAAAACATTTTGCAGCCAATTAAGAGTCTCTCTGTTCTTCATACAGGAGTTTTGACTCACTCTTCCTGCAGATATTCCCACAGATTTTCATATGTTCAAGTAAAGGGACAGAGTGGTCATTCCAAAAGCTTCAACTCGTCTCTCTGAAACTAGCTATTGGTTGATTTTGGTCTGCTGTGAATAATTGTCCTGCCGTAGAAGCCAGCTTCTTTTACATTTCTTGACTAACTGCATGGTATTTACATCCAGAATTTGTTGACATTGAGTGCAATCCTTTGTTCCCCTCTATTTCCATAAGGTTTCCTTTGCAGTGTGCTGCCAAAAAACCCCAAAGTAGCATATTTTCACCTCTGCTTGGCAAACTTTTGTTTTAATCAAGTGCTGCTCCTTTTTCTCCAAAGATATATTTTATTATGCTCATACAGCCCAAGTGAAATGTGATCTGTCCACAGCACTTGTTGAATCTAATTGTAGATTTACTTGTGATGACTCTTTCGTGTAGATGCTGTTTGTGACTCATTGTTGCACAATGGAATATCGCTCCTGTGTCAGCTAAATCTTTGATATCTTTTTATAGCCTCTCCTGCTTTACAGGAAACAATTACAATACCATGTCTTTAGATCCTCACTAGGCTGCTTAGAGGAGCTCCTCTCCTGTGGAACCAGCTTCCAGTCTCAGTTCGGGAGGCAGACACCCTCTCTACCTTTGAGATTAGACTTAAGACTTTCCTTTTTGATAAAGCTTAGAGTTACAGTGACCCTGAGCCTTCCCTTAGTTATGCTGCTATAGGCCTAGACCACTGGGGGGCCCCATGATGCTCTGAGCTCTCCTCTTCTCTCCTCTCTACATGCATTTATATGCCTCCATTACATGTCACTAACTGTGTGTCCTCTCTCTCTCCCTGTACCTTTCTGCAGGTTGCTCTGGAGCTCCACGTTTCTGATGAGCAGTCACCAGCCACATCAACCTGACCAGTGTTTGATTGTTTGTTGTGTCCTGATGCTTTTCTTTTCTTTTCTCTCTCCTCTATCCATCCACCCCAACCAGTAGAGGCAAAAGGCCACCCACCAAAATCCAGGGTCTGTCGGAGGTTTCCTCTGTTGTCAAGTGCTTGTTCAAGGGGAATTTGTTGGGTTTTCCTCTATAATAATAATTATAAAGGAAAACCCAACAGATAATAATAATTGTTATTATTATTATTATTATTATACCCCTCCTTGAACCACCACCTTATTGTGGTGGAGGGGTTTGAGGACCTGAGTGATC